TGTTTGAGCCCTTGGGCACCTGCAGCGGGGGGGGAGTGAGGCGGGGATTCCAAAGGTGCTCTCCCTCAGGGAATACCAAAGCAGGGGAAAAGCAAAGGCACTCCCATGCTCTCCATGTGGCTCCAAAGACAGCCTGCGTTCCCCGCATGCCTCTGAGCTGCAAGGGCATTCCCTGCACGCCCCCTCCTCTGGCGCCCAACCTCTCCTAGCAGCCAGCACCCCAGCCAGACCCCCGGTCACCGCAGATGGCAACAGCACCGTGCACCCTGCCGCTGCCTGGGTCATTCCCATATCCACACACCCCTTCCTGGGACCATGGGGGAGTCTTCACCCCAGCTCTCCGTCACCCAGGAGGAACCTGCAAACCCTTCTGGTCCCTCAGATGAGTTTGCTAATTGCAGCCACCGCCTAAGCCTCTCCCTCCTTGCTGTCCTCCCGAGCCTCAGCGCCCCGCGGCACCTCCCGCCTCCGCGCTCGCTCGGGCGCAGCAGGTTGCAAACCTCACACCTCTATTTTTTGCTTTGCCGGAGAAAACCGGCACCGGTTGCCCAGGCAGCCGTGGGGAGCCCGGGCACCGGGATTCAGCCATGCACGGAAACAGAGGAAGATCTCATCAACTTTCTGGATTGCAGCAATCAAACCCAGCTGAAACCAGAGCAGCCTCTGGGAAGAAGTTGGGATTTGGGCACGTTTGGCCCAATTGCATTCACACCCCTCCATCACAGGCCCCCCTCCACCATTTCTCCATGGAGAACAGGCAGATTTTCCACCATTTCTCCATGTGGGAGGTTCCTCCCTGCTCAGATGGTCGTCTCCACTTTCCAAGACCAAGAGCACCATGTTTGGAAAACTTCATGAAGCAAAACTAATTTCCTATCCGCATGCTGGATTTGTAAGTGGTCCACCTAGCTATAAGGTGCACATAACTATAGGATAAGGTCCACATAGCTATGGGATAAGGTCCATGCAGCTATAGGGTAAGGATTTGCTCACAGCTGGGTCACCTTTGGCCATAAATATCCTTCATTCGGCATCTCCATTTGAGACCTCCATGCTCCACCAATGCCTCCTGCATGGAAATGGTCATTGAACTTCTCTGCTCCAGGGATTTATTCTCAGACATTAATCTCACCCCTACCAAAGCCCACAATTCCGGAGCAAAATAAGGAAGTATTTTGAAGACCAACTGGTCTATCCTTTCTGTTTTTGATCATTTCATTCATTTTGCCTCAACGTGATTAATGACTTCTCCAAGTTTTTGCCTTTTTTTTTCCCAGCCTTGAACTACCAGTGAACTGCAAATGTGCCTTTAATAAGGTGATTAACTTCAAATAAGTTTTAATAAGGGCATGAGCAAGAAATGTCATTTTGCTCCACACCTGTCGTCCGCGAGCGCAACCCGCAGCGCTGTCTCCTGCTAAGACAGCGGAGAGGTAACCCAGACTGGCACGGAACCAGCTTGAATAGTTCCAATATAGATTTAAATGCATAAATAAGTTGTATGTAAATGCTTTTCGCTTCGTTGTCGTTGCAACCAGCCACGTTAGGAAGCAAGCAGAGACTTCCATGCTTCCCTAGGGCAGCTTTATTGTTCTGGACAGCGTGGGGGAGACCAAGAGATGGGGCAGAAGGACCCACAACCTTCAGGATATCTAAAAAAAATCACTCAAGCATCATTGTTGCTTCATTTGCTCTAGGCACCAGGTTGGGCCAGCTGACAGGGGAGAAATCTTGCAGCAAAACGGAAAAGGAAGGATGGCTGAGGATGGAGGGAATGATCCCTCCAACAAGACCTACACGGCTCCTATCAGCAGATGAGGGCATTTTGGGAGGAAAAAGAGGTGGTTTAGGCATCTGTGGCTGAGAGCAAAGTGCCGATAGTGCTGCAGCATTTGCGTTAGGTGGAAAAAAAAACACAAAATCTGGAGTCTTTCAGGGAGCAATGCTCTTCTCAAGGCAGGAGAGCCCTGTTTCCAGGCAGCCGCAGCTCAGAGGAGACGCGCAGCGTGCGGCACGCAGGAGACAAAAATTGTACACTAGAATGGCCCTTTTTGTTCTTAAAAATCCCTGCGAGATGTCAGGATAACGCTGCCATCCAGGCACAGGCTGTTCTTTCCCTGAGACATTTCGAGGACAACGATGGCCATTGAAAGAGGAGGGGGAGGGAGAATTCCAGTAATATTTTTAGCCATGCAGCTCTGCCCTCAGTCACTTGTCCTGCACAGCCAGAAGATCAAACCCCAGTAGGAATAAAGGGAATGAGGGGGCTGTAGACCCCCTTGCTGAGCCCTGATGGTGCTTGAGGTCACGTAAGAGGGGCTCATCACAGGAATGAACCGCTTTCCACATAGGATTTGCTTTCCACATAGGATTTGCACATGATTCCCTTGTTTCCATGCTCCACAGTAGCCCTTCCTTAAGCATGTTATGTCCTCCAGGGCCTCAAAGTCCACCAGGCCAGAAGTCCAGCTTCCCTGGAAGGGAAGTGTTGGCCCTGGCCTGGCTCAAACTCTGCTCTCATCCCGGCACCTCCTGCGTTATCACCGCTGCCTGGATCAAAGGGCGCTGCAACATCCCTGCCACGTGAACAGGTCTGTGCCCTGCAGCGGGAGAGCCTCTTGTGGGGTCAGACAGGAGGGAGAAGAGCGGAGAAGAGGTAGGTTGGGGTTTGCGCAAAGGAGGTTTTACCACTTCCATGGCTGCCTCCCCTCAGAGCATCCCTTGGCCACGCTAACATGGCCGCCCCGAGGCCGGCCAGGCCACACTCAACATGGCCGTCCCACCGCGCCATGCCGCGCCACACGTAGCCTCTCGGACAGGCCACACTCAGCATGGCCGCCTCAACGTGCCGCAGCGCTGCCCCCCCCTATCAGTTTTGATGGACGTTGAGGAAAGCCAATCAGACTGCGAGAGGGAGGTGGAGGGGTGGGGCGGAACCAGCAGGGTAGGGTGGCACTGGGTGGTGGCGCTGGGTGCGCCGTGCAGAGCTGCCACGTTGCTGCGCTCTTTGGCCGGTGACAGCAGTGGCACCTGGTGGGGCACCAGGGGGACAAAGGGGATGGGGACATTGAAGTCCTCCCCGGCAGGCTGCAAGGAAAAGGTTTCCTGCTTCTCCTTGCGTTGCACCACATTGCATTCTTGTGCCAGCCAGCGCGCATCACTGCAGGATCAGCGGATCGCAGCAGGCTGCTGCTTGCAGGCCCCATCTGACCTAGAAGAGCCACTAATTAACCCCACAAATTAACTGCATCGATTTTCATCATGCCATGGCGCACGCTATTTATTTTAGCAGAGATGATGTAACCCGTAAGTCCTCACATGGCAAACATAGGAGGAAAAATCTCCTCCCCTTCCCCCAGAACATGCCTAGTCTTAAAAAAAAAAAAAATCTCTTCCCAAGGAGGTTGGAAAGCTTTTTATTTATTTATTTATTTTCTCCCAAGGTCCCTCGCATGGTGGTTTTTTTT